ATATAAATTATTAAAGGTATAGTTCACCCACCCAAAAATGACAATTGTGTCATCATTTACTCACCCTCATGGTCAAAAAAAATATATGTAATAAATTTTATCAAACAAAATATTTCTTGCTGAAGCTACTTTTTGTAATGTCTGTTTGATGCTTTACACAACAATGACTTTAAATTATCTTTTGGGAGTAATTTTTAGCCAAGTTTGATGTGCGATTAATTAGATTAATTAATTGCCACATCATGTAATTAATTAGATTAAAAAAATTGTAATCGCTTGCCAGCCCTAATTAAAATAGAAAACAGCTCTTATAAATTGTAATAATATTTCACAATATTACTGTTTTTACTGTATTAAAATTACATTTTCTGAAATATTGCTTTAAAAATATTTATTTATTTAGCTATTTATTTTAAACTTTTGAACGATAGTGTATATAGAAGACCTGTAAATTAATAAACACTTTTGCTGGAATTGGAATATAGAGTCGACAAATGATCTCAGAACAAGCTGGCCTGGATAAATAGACTATATACACACCCAATACAACCCATAAGTAATTAACTATTTTTACAACAAATAGTGAAAGTAACATAAACCATGCTTAAACACTTCCTTTGCGAAACAAAAAAAAACCCTTAAAAACAAAATAAAACCCACCTCTTTGGCACGGTTAATGAAGGGTATCTGCGTCCCACTGTTGAGGTCTTCATTAATGATGAGGCGCCGAGCCCACTGGCCTGCCCTCACCACTCCACTGCCCTGGATGAGAACCATGATCTTCTCTGGGTTAGTGAGGGCATCCTCGCTCATGTAAATAAAGCTTTTCGGTTCATCCACAGTCGAATCGACCTGAAGGAATATAAATATTACAATCAGTATCAAACTGAGATGCCAGTCACCAATTACAGCAGGGTACAAGATTACGGCAAATTAAATCTTCAGTTTGGAAATTCCACCCTTATATTATTGAACATACTTAGGGCACAGAGTTCACACTACATTCCAAAATGCTGTGAATTCATAGGCCAGGAGTAAATTAGAAACCTAACATCCATCATCATTTAGTCGAACTTGGCAAACTTCGTGAACCTCGATCTGATTAGAAAGGGTGTTATTTTGTTTTTTGTGCAGCTCCTCAATCCCCTGATGTGTGTCAACAACTATATTTAGTATTATTAAAGTGGGGCAGGACACTCTCAGAAACAGCTGATTGCAGTCAGAGACTGGAATCATTTCTAATGAACAGCGCTCAATGCTGAGCTACACTGCCAGCTGCTGAAAACAGTGCGTCTGATGACTTCTTTACACTGCATCAAATCCGTCTTGACATTTACATGGTGTATGCTTCCTGTGTGGGCATAAGTCTTGTGGCAAACTCTAAGATGAGCATAAAATAATACGATTGAAAATAACAATGCATTTTGTGTCTAAAATGGACTTTGATAAATGGATTAAGCACTAAATGCAGTTGGTCACAGATAGCTTTGCCCATGAAACTCTCTGAAAGACAATACAGAGTCCAAGAACATCATTTGGTAAATACCCTCCACAAATAAAACAGCTCATAAAAGCCTGTGCCAGCATTGTTCAGGTGATTTATGGAGAGTAATTTACAGTGCTTTTAAAAGGACATAAATTCTATGACTACCAAGCGCAAACACCCGCTATCAAAAATGATGTGTAGTTTAATGATATGCCTCTTAAAAAGTGTACTAGAAATCATAACATTATTGCTCATATGAATGCAGTGACCACACCTTAGGAATCTCCTTGAGCGTACACAATTTTACCATCAGAACAAATGTAATTTTCTCCTGGAGAGTTCAGAAGTGTTGAAGAATATCATTCTAAAACTTCGTTTTCACACAATATAGACCGTTGTAATCTTATAGGATGCCAAGCACAACTGTATCAGTTTTCACAATAATTCTGTTTAGATTCAAATTGTGGGCATCTAAAGTATTGAGGAAAAAAAGACATTACATACGGGGAGGATCTCCTTCTTCAGGTTGCAGTCGTTTTCCAGGCGTTCATAAACATACTTTGTAATGATCTACAGGAGACAAGAGAGACATCCTTATAAGTCTTTCAAACTAACTTGCAAAAATGACCTGCACTTCCATTTGGTTTGAAACTAAAATATACTTTAACTTCGGTTGGAAAAAAAAAACACTAAAGGGAGTTATTAAAGAATATTGGATGGAGCCTTTTCATATTTCCAGGGTCCTCAGAAGCTAAAGTCGTCATAGTTGGGTAAACTAAATGGTGAACAGAATCTACACTGGGAAAAACAAACAAACAAAATAAATCACTCATAAAATTGCTAGCAAATTTCACAAATACTTACAAAGAACCGGAAAGTAACAGGCTGAATTAACTGCAAAATTTTGAAGTAGAAAAACTGATTTATATTCTTGTACATCATACTCCAATAATCTTTGATTTATTTACAAAATAACTAAATAAATAAATAGTAAATAATAATAATAGTGTACAACAAATTAAATTTTTTGCATTTCCATTTGCTCCAATACCAAAAGAAAAAATGCTTGATAAGCATTGTAATGCAACTCAAACTGAACCCATACAGACTCACACACACACACACAGACTTTTTATTTATGATTATCAGAGCCAATCACACTTTGCATATATGCAAAGTACATTCAGTTGCACACTCGAAAGCCGCAGTGAATGAGATAACTGGAACTGTCTGGATTTCACTCGTTCTGCACAGAGAGCAGAGTGTACAGGTGCCGTCAGCCTAAAGCGGGGCAAATCTAGAGTACAAACAGCGTGTTGATGTAAGGTATGTTTATCCCTGCAGCTAAATTACTAAAGAACATGTACACAGTGCAATTTCAACCCCGGGCCAAAAGTTTCATGGTTCAGTGACATCTTTCTTTCTTGTTTTGCTTTAGCTCACGATCTGCAACAGCTGAAACTACAGCGCTTTAAGAGGTGAATAGCAAATGCGCTAATTAAGATGAGCTGTTTTATGGTGGTTGTGATTTGGCAACAGTCAGCAGAACAGCCCCAGTGTAACAAGGCTCATCTTTCAGGGCACGCTCATCCAGTTATGCCAAGTCTGAGGGGACTTTACGGCCCACCCGGGTGGAGGCACTAACAGATGCCCCACTGGAATGAGGCGTGAAGGTGGTGGAGCTGGATCCGTGTCTGACGGCTGAGACTGTCAGCTGTGCTGCTGTCACAAAATGTGTGAGGTCTTGATCTGCAGTCAAACTGAGCTGCTGGGTGTCAGTCAGTGTGATGCACATGGTCTAGACCAGTCGTCCTCAACTGGTGGGTCAAGACCCAAAAATCATTGACAGGTCTGTTCTGATAGAGCTGCAGGCAGAAGGGAAACAAATAATGGAAAACACAAATGATAATGTGTAACTAACCATATAATTGTGCACAATTAGCTAGGTAAATACACTAGCAAAATGCAAAAGGAGAAAATGCTACCTACATCTTTTATTGTTGACGTCAAAGTTGGCGCAAATGCCCTTGAAAACCATAAACAAAACTAGGCAAGGAAACATGACTCAGATCACTTACAATGATAGACTGATGGATATTTTTGGTCAGGCTGCTTAACTGTGATTTTTGGCTAGTTTGAGACTATTACATCGGTTTCCTTGGCCGACATAAGTGTTAACTTTCTTGTATGGCCATTCCAAAATATACTGTACTAACAAAAAAATACTCTTATTATTAAGAGTATAAAATAAACTAATGAATGAATTAATTTTGTCTGAATTGTATGTAAGTGCAAATAAGAGTTTATTTCATTTCAGCATTTGTATGTAATTTAATTAATACAATTATATAGGTATTATATATATA